CAAAACCAATCACTCTAATAAAAACTGTCCACCTTAGAGGACAGTGTGAGTGCTGTGAATTTCTCAAATGTTAATATTTATGAGTGTAAATAGGGAATCACATGTTAACATAAAACGGGCATGCGCATTAAATATTTACTTCACAGACTCAATGAAAGCTGCGCTGACTTGACAATTCTACTTCAAGTGGATCTGAAGATGTAATCTAAAAAACGTTAAATGTATAAAAATTACAATATAATGCTAAAATTCTTTAACTTTTCTGCCATTTTGTGTTTTATAGCTCAGTGTCTGCGCATGTTAGCCAGGAGGATGATACAAGGAACACTAAGCCATGCTACCGAGCCAGCATGTATATGGCCGCAATATCTAAGTGGTATTCAGGCAACAATTATAATGTAATATAATGTAATGTAATAATATAATTTATTACACCAATGCTTTGTGAAAAATAATTACTTGCCAATTAAAGAGAATGATAACAAATGCAAACATTTATTTTTGCTGTAAATTTAACAGTATAATGGAAATTCAAATAGTAATTAATTGCATTAGCTACTGTACCTTCCCGCAGTTTGCAGGGTGGTAACCAAGATCTTATACCTCATCAGCTCCTCTTTAGGAGGAATCATAAATGTGTTTGTGCCATAGATCAGGTTGCAGCACAACTATAGAAAAACACAAAGCACATACATACATATACACACATAGTAAAGTATGCAGGGGCACAAATTAAGTTTGATAGTATTAAACTAGACTTAATAATACTACACTCAGAATGAAACATCTTAATGTTAGCAATTTCCTGCTGAGACATAGATGCTGGGGCAGGACATAACCTAGTACGGATTTACTTAACAAGTTAAAACAATAGGATATCAGAGAGATGTTATTTGATGGAGATGAAACAGCAGAACTCTTCATAAATCTATTATATACTGGTATGTATTTGTGGATCTTTAGAAACAATCCTTGTTTGAAATTATAGTATATATAGTATGTGGCTTCTTGCCAGGTATTTGTGTTATCTTTATGCTGTGTGGAGTCAAATATAATAATAATATAATAATCCAGACCTTGCTATTTTGGGGAACATTTTTCACAGGAGTGCTTAGGGAATACAAGCGATACACCTCTAGCTGATTGCCTAAATTTCCTTCCAGAATCTTCTCACAAAGATGATCAGTTGCACTGTTGGAAGGAGCGCAAGCCAGGATGTTGCATGACGCCTGAGTTTTCACTATCTGGTTGATAGCTTCCACCAAAGTCGCTGTTTTGCCTGACCAACAGATGTAAAAATACATTGTTCTGAATGCAAATAAAATGAATACTTTAAGCGCCATGGGGCATTCACACACGAGTACAGTACCTGTGCCAGGTGGACCAAATACCAGGTAAGGGGAAGGTTTTGCAGAACCAGCTAAAATGTGTTGAATGGCCATGTGTTGCTCCGGGTTGATCTCGATTCCTAACAAGCTGATGACATAGAGACAGGGGCGATATCAGAGCTGGGTCACAGTTAAGAGAGTCTGTGTTTACATGCAGCAGTTTCAGGGACAGATGGGATATAAGGCAGACAGATTCAGTAAGACAGTACTGAAGTATGACCTTGTCTATATCACATGTTTTGAATGTTTTTCCTGGATTCTTGACCTTGAGGTAGGCTGACCTGTGTATATGTAAATGGTGAGAAGAAAGTTTTCCAGTAGGGAACAGCACCTCCCTCAGTCCGTGCTTGTACACCCGTGCCACTGCTCTATGCTGGATACGCATGGGAATACGGTTGATAGCGAAGAGAACCCTGAACCTCGTGCCGTCCTTGAAATCACTCATGAACCTGCATTCAAATTCACATGTAGTCATGAGTGTGGTATTGTGGACTGAACAACTTAACATATTGAATTGGTGAGCAAACTCGCAAACAGAGAGTAAAGCAACAGCAGTAGAGAAACAAGAGCTTTTCAGACAGCTGACTGTGGAAAAAGCGGTGTCTCTGCCTCGTTTATGTTGGATTTCTCACTGCTTGATTGTGAACAGTGATGCAACACCTGGGACACAACCTGAAATGTATCATTGTACTGTATTTTATATAGCTGTGAGTTAAACTCGACTCTGGCTGTTATGTCATATTGTATACACTTGGCCAGTTGAGCACAAGGAGCAGCATGCTGTTATACAGATCCATGTGTAAAGTAAATTTAATTCTGCAGCAATACAAAGTTTTAGGGGAGTCACCATTTAATCCCATTTGACCCCTTCTTGTTTTTAGCCAACTGTCTGTTCTTACTTTTCACTGAACTGCAGGTAGACCTGCTCTGCATCCACATGATAGATCCAGCCTTGGTGAATTTCACTCTTAACTCCTTTCTGATCTAAAGGAGTCACCAGCACCTGGTTACCAGAGAGCTTCAATAGCGAGCCCTTAGAGACACCTGTAATCTGATGACACAAAAAGTCAACATACTGTTTCATTCTGAATTGTTGAGGTGAAAATTCCAGCCAATGTCTTTATGTCTTATTGTGTGTAGTGCATCACCTGCAGAACGAAAAGGTTTGTGTTGCTTTTGTGTCTGAACAAGGGCACATCATCCTGGTTGTATTTCTCAATATCGGTCTTCTGCTGGAACTCCTCAAGATGCAGCAACAAGTGGAACCTCTGGGAGTAGTTATTCCAGTTCAGAGGTCTATGCAGGTCCCTAAGGAGATCCAAGTGACATGACAAATTGGATGACTTCTACAAGCATGGCATACGTGTGAAGTTATTACATTAGGAGACCGTGTGGCTTGCCATTAAAGCACATGTCTCATTGTGGCATTTTCTTTTGCATTTTACTTACTACAAATCAGCCTAGGCATCTTGAATCTGAAACTTTCTCCATTAGTTTATAATCTTGCATATACCCTACAAACTATTAACCTTATTAACACACTGACCTGGATGAATACTGCTTCAGTGAGTCATTCAGAGAACTGATTTGATTTTCTTATTCCAGTCACAGAGTGCCGTTTATGTAACATTAACAGCTCTTTGTTCAGGGTTGAACCAGATTATTTCAAGATGAGTCAGTGTATTTAATGATAGACTATTTTTCCTTTACTTAAAGAGAAACTAATATGTTATACAATATACTATTGCCCAGACATGTGCAAAACATATGCCACAATGCTGGGTAAAAACCTTAATTACTTTACTTTAAAACAATAAATTAAATATGGTACAAATTGGTTCACGTTCTCATTTAGTGTGTGTGTGTGTGTGTGCATGTGTCCACGTGAAAATACATACGGGTGGGAATCTCTGAAGAGTTTTATATTGTCAGGCATCGTATAATACTTCAAAGACACAATAGGCTTAAGAAGCATGAATCCAGAACTGGAGTGGAAAAACAAAGACAGAACACAGGACAGTAACAACTGAGATGAATAATAACAGCTGCAATCTGCAATTTGGATGTTGACACAGTGTTCAATGTGAATGGAGACGGTCAGCGGGGAACCAGAAGACAATGATGGACTGATGAACTGTAATTCTCTTTCACATTCAACTCTTTATGGTAACTTCTGTAAATCTGATTTCTAAGAAAGACTAATACAAAGCATTGCCTTTCTCTGGTCATCAGATGTAATAAATCACAATAGGTACTTTACTGGATTTCATAAGTAATGCTGTACAACATAATCAACACACTAACATAGATAACATTATCATTATGTGATATCCACTTGTCATACCCTTTAGCAGGGGGCCACCTCAGAGTTTGGTGGTCGCACAATGAGTTTGCGGCTGTGGGGAGGACCTCTTCATTAAAAGATGTCTGACGCACTATTTCCAAGAGGCGCATGATCTCAAATGTATCGGACTGCCGGCATGTTTCAAACTTAAAGACCAGTAATTGTTCATAGAAGCCAGCATGGTGAGAGTAGAAATGGACCTTAATTTTATACGCCTCTCCTAGAAACAACATGGGAGAATAAAGGAGAAAAAATGAGATATATAAGATATATATACAGTAATGTTGTAATTTAAACACATTTATTATAAATCACATGAAGTCCTAATTACTATCTTCAATATTTCCTGTTGGATACAGCGTACAACAGTTACTTTTCTGATGTACTCTGCAAGTTGGGTGAGCCTTTTTTTTTTGGTTTTACTAAATCTTCAAGTCATGGTAGTCTATGCACAGCGACTACCTGAGTTGTTTGTGTTCTTTCTCATTGTAAATCAACAATTAAGAATAGTCTACATGCACTATTGCTGGATATTGTTTGTGTCAATATCCAACACCCACTGTACCCTCTTGGAGGTGGGGCACATGATTGTGTGTTTCTTATTCATACCTGGTCCAAGACTGTGTCGCTTGATAGACTTCATGATGTGTCCATGACAGTCGCTCACAGTGAAAATGTCCTTAACGAGGTCAAACGCCTGAAAAGTCAAAAAAACTGTGGCGAAACCAGAGTTCTTCACGGTGAGCAGCACAACTTTCTGTTGGGCAGGAAACAAGTTACACGCAAATTGTCAGCCTTATTACTGAAAACATGACATGAGCAAACCCGTACACACACACAATCACCATCATGTGCATGTTAATTTAATTAATCAACACTAAAGGCTTCTACTCCAACTTAATGCAAAATGAGGTTTTATCAGTACTAAGCATGGTTCTGGTTGGTCATTAAAAAGCACAGCTTACTAGTCCTCATAGTCTCACCTTCTTTTCGAACACAGTGAGGCAGATCCTCTCTTCTGTTGACACAGGGTCTGAGTTTACAGTGATGCCATATTTATTGGAGATTGGCTGAGCCCTGGTGGACGACAAGTAATACAATAAGGGTTGTTTGAAATTACATCATACATAAAGCGGACTGCCAAACATGAACAGCAGTCCTGTTGTAAGGCTTTGATTACACTAGACAAGCAGGTGCATAATAATGGTTGAGAAAGCAACCATTTGGAACGGCACCTGTCTTCATGGCCATTAAGCACATCAGTGAAAGGCTGGTTAAGCTGGTTTGAGAGCTTTGCAGTGTCTGTATTTATGTGTTTATGCCACAGTTGCTATAAACATCTGAGCAGTTATTTAAATGCAACCTGAATAGGATGGTACCTTTGAATATTAGTAATCACAATTTAAAAAAGTAAAATAAAGTCTGAGCTTTATACTTCTAATTGAACACTTTCTTACCTGTATTGCTGAAATAACTTTGCCAATTTCAAACGAGCTTGAATCTTATTGCGGGCCTGCTGAGCCATGTGTGCTTCAGCATCTAACGTTAACGTATTGTGTGGGCCATTCAGGTAACCAGATTTTCTTGGTCCTGTATTCTGGATAGGCCATACTGCAGGCAACATCTGCAGCTGCTGTCGCTGCTGGTGGAGGAAGCTCATTTGGTCCTGATGGTACTGAAAAAAAGAACCAGAGAGGATCATAAACCTGAGTCCGCAGTATGAGTATACTATGAGTTATGATGAAAGAAAATAACCCGAGTCCTCTGTGCTGGTATTAGCTTTTAATCAGTTATGTGATCCCCTAGGTTTATCTTTTTATAGTCTAGTGGATAATGTGATGTCAAACCTTCCATCAAAACACCTACAGCTTCTAACCTAACCTAGAACATCACAAAAATACATATTATTGCAAGTTGTAATATAATATATAACGTTAGTAAATATAAACATAAGCCTAAGTATAATATCTTATTGTATTGATATTATTATGGACATGGCTGAAAGAAATTCACTACATCAATGTCACTTGGCCAGCTAGCTGTAGCTACGTTTCATTTATCGACTAGGTGGCAGTATAAGAAGAGGAAGCAAGCTAGCTTAAATTGAGCGGCTTCAAAAGTGAAATTTAGCATTAATTCAGGTAGTTAAGGTAGAGGCAACTAACTGCAAAACAACATAAAATAACATAAAATAACAGAGTCTATCGGTAAGTACAAATGCCCAGTGTGGTCTGCGATTTAAGGGAAACATTTAGTTGACATTTGTAAATAACAGTAACATAGCATGTTAACAGCACTAACTAACGCTCACAGCAAACCACAGTAATATAACCTAGCGAATATTTAGCAAACATATAGGTTAGCAACTCACTTTACAGACGGACAACAGGCAGCAGCGTGAGGAACTAATTAGCTTGACAAAGTGAATTTAAAGTGAAGCTTTGATTCGAATGTAAACAGAATCACAGTCGGAGTGTATCCTAGCAACGGCGAGTGATGCAGTTCCAACAAGGTGTTATGTCGTAATGAGTTTCGCCGACAAATGATGTTTAACGTTACTCCTCTTTCTCCCGTAGCGTTGCAGTCTGTGGTTAGAGTGAGGGATTGGGTTAAGATAGTTTATGGTTAGGAGTCGCAGAGACGACTTGTTGGAGTCGGGGGAAGTTAGTTTGTGAGGGGAAACACTCTTCAACACAACAAGTGAGCTTTTTTTTGCTAGTTTAAGTTGTGATCGAATTGTTCAGCGCATGCGTGGTAGAGTGGAACAACTGCAGTGACCAAAATCATCATAACCGTGGCCCTGTTTGTAGTCTACTGTAGTTCTTGCATAAACCAGCCTGTGTAATACGACTATTCCGATAAAGACAAATGAGTATATGTTCGTTATATATATGTTATATCCTTGAGCTATTAATTTGAGCTGAAGGCCTTGTCTTTGGCCCCTGCCCCTCAGTGCAAAATTACTCATGTTCCTGTTTTATTGTCATATCTGAACAGGCCACTAGAGGGCAACGCAGACTCATTTTAGCTCAGTCTCTTTAATCAGGCACTATTGGCTGTGCAATAGTCATATTTATGAGTAAAGTTAGTTGGTGTACAGTTTTAGCAAGCAGCTATATAAATTAAGTTTGATTTGATTAAATTTTCAACTCTTCATACAGTAGCTTCTCTCTAAGTGTGTCTGCAGTAAGCTTAGAGTGACTTCATCATATTTTGTGGTGGTAGCGCTATAATATTTTATAGCATTTAACTGTGTTTTGTTGACAGTTGTGATATATATATTTATTGTATTTGTCAAATTTCGCCTGCTCATGAAGAGATCATCGGGTGCTGATATAGTCAGTAGTAAAAGTGATCACACAAAACACAGAGCCTCTTCATAGAAGTGCTAGAAAGAAACAGAAGACATGTAAGCTGTCAAATTAGATTTGTTTTATGTTATGACATTAATCGGATGGTGGAAGGGTTTTGACCTTGCTGGTTATTACTTTATAAAGGTATATCTCATATTTTAAGAACATTTCAGTAGAAGTGTGTACATACACTGTAAGTGTGTACATACACTGTAAGTAGGTACATACAAACAAAAAGGTACATTTGAAAAAAGGGCAGCAGACAGGGACTAAATGAGGTAAACTTGTGTTGTACAATATGCTAACTAGTTCCTCAAGAGCAACAGAGGGTTTAGTAAGCCTTTATGGTGGTTCTGAGGTTCGGGGTTTAGGAGGGGTTAGTTTTGTGTGTGTGTGTGTGAGCGTAGGAGGTGTCTGATGATGATAAAGAAAGTTTGGAAGTGGCCAAATGAGAATTAGAGAAACGGGGGGTGGTTTTGTTTGACACAAAATCTTCAGAACAACCAGAGGTGTTTGTTTATCCGTCATCAGTGTTAGTGTCGCACATGTCGTCTGTTTGTGTGTGTGTGTGTGTGTGTGTGTGTGTGTGTGTGTTTCTGTCAGCATCCTATCTGTCTGCCTATCCATATTTGTGTTTGAAGCTGAATTCAGTCAGACTGCATGATGACTCAGCCATCCAGATCGTCTTACTGTACAGTCTGTCATCAGTCCCGTTGCTCACAGTGACTCAGTGAACATCTCGCTGTCCTGGCGGCTATGACCCCACATGAGACCAGAATCACACCCAGACCGCAGCAGCTTGTGTGTTTTTGCCTGTGCGTACTTCTGTGTGTGTGAGAGAGACGGACGGCCCCGATAGCGGTGTGCATGTGTTACTGTTTATCAGACGACATGTCGACGCATTGTGTGTTTGTGTGCATGTGTGTCATTGACCCAATGAGACAGCAGGGCCAAGAAATTACTTAAACGGCCACAGCTGCATTTCCATGGCAACAGGGTGTTTTAATGGAGGGACATTATGGGCTAGAGAGCAGGGTAATGACCGCTCTGGCCGTCGGAATGCCTTGATCTTATCACCATAGCGAGAGGGGATGCTCCCACTTTCTGATGCTCTAATAGCCCCTGCTCTAATAGACAGGCAGCCTGGGCCACTGGGGTCACCCAGAAACACAGGACCACCCCTCCCACACACACACACACACACAAACCCATAACGCTGCTTTTCTCACCTTATCTGTGTCCAGTTCTCTGGCGATGCACTGTATATCTGGTTAAAGGCTCTGACCTAATATAACACTGCCTTTCTGATAAATAGGCTGCATGTAACCAGTATATTTGTGATGAAAATGTAATCAAAGGGCATTTCTTCCAGGAGAGGAAGAAACAAGGGGATGGATGAGGAGAGAGCAGAAGAGAGATAAGAGCTTGTTGAAAACCCGTTTGTAAAAGAATGGCCTGTCACTGTTTTGGCACCCGCACACATACTCGCACTTGCATACCCTCCCGAGTCTCACACAGCACGGTGGAGTGTATACACGGACAAATCCTATAAGTCCATTTGAATACCACAACAGTCTTCTTCTAATCTGTTTGTTTGAAATTTGTGATGAATCGGCAATTTTCAGCAGACCCAACGCAGGCCTTATCCACACCTATTTGTCCATGTTAAGGGTTGAGTTATTTCTCAACACAATTGGTTGGATGCCAGTGTAGGAGTGTGTGTGTGTGTGT